TAAACATCTCAAATATCATTTAAAACTATTAAAGCTTATATTTATATAATATAATTTATCAATTCCATTGATATAATAATTAAGATCACTTAACAGTTACAATATAATAATAAAGTAATAATATTAAAATTAATATATAAATTCAATTCAATTAAAAACATAATTAGAAATAAAAGAAAATATTGATTAAAGATTAAATGGTAAAACTAATGTTTATATTATATATTATTTAATAATATATATGCAAATAGGTCGCCTATTAGGCTCGTAGACTAAGCCTTATAAAATAGGCATCGCTTATTTAAATAAATAAGATTAATCAAAAATTAAAATCAAATTTAAGCTTATTTAATAAATAGATTTGGTTGGACCTAAAGTAAGTTAAGCCTTACGCCCTTAATAGAAATCTAGCCTATTTTCACCTTTATTTAATGGGATATTTCAATTAAAACACCTTATTAATTACATGCTCTAAATAAAGGTATTTTTAGGAAAAAAATATTATTAATCACACCTTAAAAAATCTAAAATGTCTTATATTTTTTAACATAATATTTTAAAAATATATTATAATATTGAATAAGGTTATACTAATGAGATTCAAAATCTCAATTATTATTTTTTAGTAACAAGTGTCTGTACCACTATTTGATATCTTAATTTCATAAACTATTACTTGTTAGACTTGTGCAAATGAGTTGCAACCTAACCTGCAGGCTACCACACATGAATTAGAGTTTTAACAGATTGGGTTAAGCCAGCTTGACAAGATAAATGGGTTGATAAAATGCAACCCAACTAGCACATGGCAAAATGCACCTTTATTTTTTTAAAAATAATTTGTGTGTGCGTGTGCGCGTGCATGTGTGTGCGTGAAATCACCCCTCTAAGCTCTATTAGACAAATTCCATATAATAAGCTTTATTTTTTTCAATACTTATCTAAATCCAAATGATCTATTGTGCATTTTAAAAAGTTACAGTACTTTAAAAAAAATTAGAATTCAAACTTTTTTTTACTTGGATGTCCCACTAAAAGTAAATTTGAATAATAGAAATGGATATGAAATTGATAAAAGAAAAGAATTAGAATTAAAAATATTTTTCATATCACAAAAAATTTAAATATGATTTTGATATTATTTATATTTGCCTTTTTATGGATTAGAATTAAGTAGAAAAATGAAGCCAAAATATTAAAAAAATGGTTATATTTTTATTATTAAATTATTAATCATCTTCTCACCTAGGTGTCTTATCTTTTTTATTGAGAAAGAAAATTTAAATATAAACTCATATTATTTTTTTCAACGAATTATTATTCGTGATTTTAATCAATAGATCTTATGATATTAACAAATAATATATATTCAAAATATTTTTATAAAAATAAATAAATTATTGACTTATAAACTATAATAAGAATTTCATTTGCAAATTGTAAGAAAGATTTACATTAGTTTTTAAATGTAAAGAACATATTTTAAAGTCATAAATTATGAATTTAAAAAATATTATCATTATTATATATTTATAAAAATATATTATAATTAAAAAATAAATTATTTTTTTTAAAAAATAAGCTAGCCAACACGTTCTAAAAAAACGGGCCAATTCCTTTACTCACAACTTGTGAAAATTAATAAGTTAAATGGACTAACTTGCGAGCTCAATTCATTTTTTTTTTTGACTCTAACAATACCTATACTCTCTTCATTGAAATTGGGATACTGGGTACTTCTAATCTAATTCCAAAAGCTATCATTGTCTAATTAATGAGTGATTGGATTAAATTCCCACAAGCACAAGAGCATTCAATTGATGTGTGTTGTTGGCGAAAGGAAAAATAATAATAAAATCTTTTAAATTATATAAATAATAATTTAATTTTTAAAAATATCATAATTTATTAAAGTTTTTTAAAGTCTTATGTCTCAAAAAATTTTAAAGTAAGAAAATTATTTTTTATTAAAAATAATAAGTCTCAATTGCAACTTTTATTCGAAAAATAATACCTTTTATTTTATGAATAGTAAGAATTAAATAAAAAATTATAACTTATAACTTGTCAAGTGTAATTTTTATTATTAAAAAATAAGTTCTTAAAATAATAAGCCTCAATCATAATTTTTGTAAAAGAAATAACCACTTTTATTTAATGAATTGCAATAATTGAATAAGAAATCACAACTTATCAATAAGGATAAAATAATCTTCTTTATTTTAAAATTTATTGATATAAAAGTCTATAAGAACTTCAATAAAATTATGATATTTTGAAAGATTTATTTATATAATTTAAAAAATTTTATTATCATTTTCTTTTAAAAAAATTTAATTGAATTTAGTTGCTTTTGAATTTTAAATAATGGGATTTTGTGGGGACATATGGGCACTTTAAGGAATCGTTGTTCAGTTACGGAACACTAGTTATCCATTATGCGTACAATGCCAGAAATCAATTATGCGTACAATGCTAGTTGCAAGTCTTGAATGGCCCCATCTTTTATACATATACATATACATATACATATACATATATATATATATATAAAGTGAGCAATAAATTTATAGTTCCAAGTATTTGTATGTTTCTTTTTTCTCTTTTAACTCTATCTAACATAAAACTTTTTCTCCATTAAATTAAGGTCACTATTAATATCCTAGCAAATATTCCCTTCATTTCTATTTATAAAAAAATTATTATTTTTAACTTATTTTTTATATAAATAAAATTACATTTTTTAATAAGCATTCATTACAAAGTTCCTAAATTATCTCTCATAATTTTATCGTTTATAATCATAAGAAATAATTAATGAAGGCTTAATTAACATAATTAATAAAGGATATTGTAGTTCAATTTTTTTATTTTTAAATATAATTAATATAGTTAATTAATTTTCTCAAACTATGTAATACAAATAATCTTTTATAAATAAAAATGGAGGGAGTACAACAACAACAAAAAAGAGAGAAATCTTATGTGTATTGAAAATGGGCAAAGTTTAAATTTCACCATGATTATAGACCAAACCACATGGTACAAGACATTAAAAAAGATAGGATTACAAACAAGCTAAGGAATGGCTTGGGAGATTTGTTATCCAAATTGGGGAGTGTTCCTCTCATAGATCAACAGCTCTCATCATGCAAAAAGGGACAAACAAAAATAGTCTTTTCCTTCTACTTCTTCTTTTTACTTGAAAAGGAAATAAATGTGTTCAATTACTCTTATTAAATGCATCTTTTTTAAAAATACTTTCTCTTTCATATGCAACCTTTTGTTCTATTAAAAAAAATTATGAAAGGATAAAATTGAAAGAAAGTAATTAATTATCCATCTTTTTAATACAATTTAATTTATAAAAAGGATCATTAAGTTTTTTTAAATGGTGACTTACACCTAAGACTGTACTGCATACGATCCCTTGGCTTTTTTAACACATTGATGATAATGTTGCTACAGAACACGTCCTCGTTATTATAAACCAAGTATCTTTTCAGAAGCCTAAATTATTTGCTTTGATGAAAAATTTTATGCATGAAAATAACTTTTCTATTTGGTATTAATTATTTAGTGATAGATAAGATGTTTAGAATGAAATTATATATTTGATGAAAAGAAGTCTTGCCCGTGCACACACACGCTGACACGCACATATACATTTCCCTTCTTGTAATGTCCTATGTCTAAAGTATAACTCACCCATACAAAAGGATGATGTTAATTATTTTATGTACAACTTTCAAAGAACAATGATTGTATATACAATAAAAAATACTCCCTTTGTTCTTAATTAACAGGGAGAATGGCATTTGAGATCCTCTAAAGAGACTTTATCCTAATCAGGGCATGCAAGTTTTTCATTAAATATTATCGTGTAAAATCAAATATATGTTGTTAAAAGCTGGACCCTGACTTGAATTTTTTGTTAGAATTTTCTTAAAAATTTAACAAGTTAGAGTCAAGCTTTTAATAACATATATATATTTTTATAAGACAATATTTAATAAAAAACTTGTGAGTTTTTGTTATAATAAAGTATCTTGAGGGTGCCTTAAATGTTATTGTCCTGATTAATATACCACTCAGTTGCCCAACTCACGGAGGCCAAGAAAGTTAGTAGTGTCTATATGTTTTTTCTTTTTAAAATGCACCCTTAATTAAATGTTTTATTATGCTTGGGGAATATCATTAAACAGGGCTATATGTGGTCCGAACTCTGAACCCATTTAGTACTTTATGGGCCTAAATTAATTTTGATTTTTTAGTTTATTGGGTTGTCTTTAGAGCCCAAGTTTATATTGGTCTCATTCCAAGAAAGCATGCAGTTTCAAACCATCCCCACTAAAATTAAGAGAGAAAAATAACTTCAAAGTTGAAATTATGGTGGCAAATGATTTTAAAATTATATTTAATTTTAAATTAACTCAAAAAATACATATGATTTCAAAATTTTTTATATACTTTTAAAATTAGTTTTGAATTTTTAAATAACTTCTAAAACGAATAGTATTGCGAGAATAAAACCTGTTATTTATGTTTTTATTGCATTATTTAAATTTTAAATAAACAAAGGAACAAATTGTAAATTTAAATGTTTTTACTTATGCAGTTTAAAATTATTTATTACTATTCTAATAATGCAAAATTAATGTTGGTGCATGTGGCAATACATTTGTAATAAAATATATTGTTTAAATTTTTAATATATGTAAGTAACGAATTGTCAAATAATTTTGTGTAGATGTTATCTAGACCATGCTTAAATTAAAATTACATGTCATGTTTTCTACCCTAATAAATGATGATCCCAGCTCGAAAAATATCTTGATTAAGCAACAGTTAACAATAAATAAATAAATAAATAAACAAATAAATTATATTTTATGGTATGTTGCTTTTCCTTTTTCATCTATTGCTAAGTTGTTTGTGACCGGGGCTTTAAATGAAGAGCGTGTTTTTTACGCCAACGTTCAAATCCTTAATTAATGGAACGTATGAAAAATATCTTGATCAAGCAACCGGGTTAAATGAAGAGAGTTCTTTTTCCGACGCTCAACGGCTAAAGCATTGATCACTTGTCACATCATCTGTCGCCAAGATTTTTTTCATTTCTTCTTCCCAACTCTCCGATTCATATCTCAAGTGTGAGCGTCTTTCTTTCAGTACGGGAGAGGTCTCCAGCACCATTTTGGGTGGTTTCTTTTTCATCTAGGGTTTAATGGCGGGGCGGCAAAGGGTTTAAGCGGTTGCTGTCTCCGATTGCCACTGTGCGTGTAAGCTTACAGTACAATTAGCTCTTAGAGATGTTGTTTCGGATAATTGTTTCGCGAGAGCTTGATCTACCTGTTTATGATACGTTTACGGATTCATGTGAGCTGTGTCTTGATTGCTTGGTAGGGATTCAGGATCGTAATTTGGTAGTCGCGTTTTATTTCTTAATGAATTTAAATCTTCCATTTTTCTTTTTCAAGATGCTTTGATTCTATTCGCCTGCTCAATGATCTACTATGGATCTGTAGTACCCATTGTTAATTTCGTTGTACTTTTGTGATCCATTCTCACAATCTGTCTTAGTCTGCAAAAATTTTCAGATTTTTTATTTTCTCTCTGCTTTGATTTGATTTTTAAGTTTTCATAATTTTAGTTTTTGCGTATAGAAAGTTATCTGAGTAGTTCTAATTTTCTAATTTCAAGGATTATCTAACCCATGAAAAGGATAGTACTCAATAGATTGGTTGTGAGAATCTTGAAGACATTGTGACGATGTTGCATGAATCTTAATAATCCATGGTTTAATAATTAACATTCCAATGTTTTGAGCCAAAGAGATCACATTAATTCATTTCCATGTTTTAAAAAATTTTGGATGGTTGGTTTTTTGTCTTATCACTTATGTAAATCTGGGTCTGTTTCCAATTCTACTGATTGGAAATGAGTTTTTCAGTCTGAAGCGTCCATAGTTTAATGTATGTTGTGCAGTTTGCATTCACAATTCTTTATTTTTGTACAGGTGAAATTTAATATATATTATTGTTTCTTGATTTGAAATTTGTCATATTCTGCTTTCCTTTTCTTGTTAGATAATATCTTTTCCTTAATTAAACATGCAGATGCCGGAAGGACTTCTTAAATTACTAGAAAATAGGGAGCGTGCTGATTGCAGAGCTGAGTATGTATCTGGTCACATTTATATTTCTGATCTGGATCCCTTGAGATTAGGAAACCAAGCAAAAAAGATACTTATTGATCCATAAAAGTGGACAGTCATGTATTGTGCATGTTCTTGTTACTTTCTGATGATTCAACAATTTGACTCTATGTTCTATAATCTTGCTCTGTAGTGAACGGTGAACCGCCGACAGGCTATGTGAACTTAGGCATATTTGTATGCATGCAGTGATCGGGAATGCATCAAAGTCTAGGAGTACATATATCAAAGGTGATGCAGTGTCCTTTGCATAGTTATTCAATTTAGGATTTGGTGAAACCACTGTGCACGCCCATTATTTATAACCACTATGTATAGCTTATTGCTTATTTTGTCTTTTCATTTTCCTTGTGCTTCCCCCCCCTTTAAATTTTAAATCTTTTTTAAATAAAAACACATCTTTTTAATCTTTACACCTTCTTTTATTTATCTTTTTTTTTGTTTAAATTTGATATTTTTATTTAGCTAAAATGTGTCTTTAAACAGTGCTGAATACTTTATATTTTTGTTGACATCTTTCTTAATTTTTAAATAAAAGCCATATCTTATTTTCTTTTAAAAAATATATATTTTTGATGAAGGACTTGATGATTTTTTATATATTTTCTTTAACAAAAAGACTCATAGCATTCTTTCTCTTTTTTCATTGTTCCTTTTGTTGATTTTTTCTTACATTTTAAAGCCTTTTTTAAATTTTAAAGCTCTTTTTTTAATATAAGCACATCTTTTTAATCTTTGCACTTCCTATTATTTATTTATATTTTTTGGGGAACATGATTGTTTATTTAGCTTGAATATGTCTTGAAAAAGTGTTTAATGCATTATATTTTTCATGATATCTTTCTCAATTTTTAAACAAAAATCATCTTTTATTTTATTTTAAAAATTATATTCATGACGTGGGACTAGATGAAACCACCATGTGCACAACTCGTTTCTAACTCATTGAATTCTTTTTTTCTCCCTCGAGCTTTATGTTGATTTTTTTACATTATAATGCTTTTTTAAATTTTAAAAGCTTTTTAAAATATAAGCACATCTTTTTAATCTTTTTCTCTTTCTATTATTTATCTATATTTTTTTTTTGTTGAAACATGATTTTTTTTATTTAGCTTAAACGTGTTTTGAAAAAATTGTTTAATGCATTACATTTTCATGATATTTTTCTCAATTTTTAAGCAAAAATTCATGTTTTATTTTCTTTCAAAAAATATTTTTTTGATGTAGAACTTTGTGAAACCACCACACATACTCGCACATCATATCTAACTCATTATATTCTGTCTATTTTTCTCGTGCTTTTTGCGGAGTTTTTTTATATTCAAAAGCTTTTTTTAAATATAATTATATCTTTTTAATCTTGGCACTTCAAATTATTTATCTATTTTTTTTTGTTGAAACATGATTTTTTATTTAACTTAAACATGTTTTGAAAAAGTTTTGTATGCGTTATATTTTTCATGATATTTTTTTCAATTTTTAAACAAAAGTCATCTTTTATTTTGTTAAAAAAAATATATTCTTGACGTGGGACTAGATGAAACCATCATGCGCACACCTCATTTATAGCTCATTGCATTTTCTCTCTTTTATTCCATGCTTTTTGTTGACTTTTTTACGTTTTAATTCTTTTTTAAATTTTAATACTTTTTTTAAATATAAGCATATCTTTTTAATCTTTTCGCTTCTTCTTGTTTATCTATATTTTTTTTTTGTTGAAACATGATTTTTAATTTAACTTAAAAATGTCTTAAATAAAGTGTTTGATGCATTGTATTTTTCATGATATCTTTCTCAATTTTAAAACAAAGAGTCATGTTTCATTTTCTTTAAAGAATACATTTTTGGCATGGATTTGATGAAACCACCATACACACATATCATATGTAACTCATTCTATTCTTTCTCTGTTTTTTTTTTCCCTCATGCTTTTTGTTGATTTTTTACACGGTGATATCTTTTTAAAATATAAGCACATCTTTTTAATCTTTGTACTTCTTATTATTTATCTTCTTTTTTGTTGGAACATGATTCTTTTTTTAGTTTAAACATGTCTTGAAAAAGTGTTTAATGTATTATATATTTTATGATACCTTTCTTAGTTTTTAAACGTACGTCATCATTTATTTTCTTTAAAAAAATATATTTTGGATGTGGGAATAGGTGAAGCTTCTAACTCATTGTATTTTTTTTTTCCTCATGTTTTTTTGTTGAGTTTTTTTTTTTACGTTTTAAAGCTTTTTTAAATTTTAAAGTTTTTAAAAATATGTGCACATCTTTTTAAATTTTGGACTTCCTATATTTTTAATCCATTTTTTGTTGAAACATTTTTTTAGGTCAAACATGTCTTGAAAATGTATTATATTTTTCATGACATCTTTTTCAATTTTTAAACACAGTTTACCTTTTATTTTCGTTCAAAAATATATTCTTGACGTGGGACTAGATGAAACCACCATGTGCACGCCTCATTTATAACTCATTGAATTTTTTTTCTCTTTTTTTTTTCCATGCTTTTTGTTGACTTTTTTTACATTTTAATGCTTTTTTAAATTTTAATACTTTTTTTAAATATAAGCACATCTTTTTAATCTTTTCGCTTCTTATTATTTATCTATATTTTTTTTGTTGAAACACGATTTTTAATTTAGCTTAAACAGAGTGTTTAATGCATTGTATTTTTCTTGACATCTTTCTCAATTTTGAAACAAAGAGTCATGTTTCATTTTCTTTAAAAAATATATTTTTGTTATAGGATTTGATGAAACCACCATACACACATATCATATCTACCTCATTCCATTCTTTCTTTGTTTTTTTCCTCATGCTTTTTGTTGATTTTTTACACGGTGATATCTTTTTAAAATATAAGCACATCTTCTTAATCTTTGTACTTCTTATTATTTATCTTTTTTTGGTTGGAACATGATTTTTTTAGAGTTTAAACATGTTTTGAAAAAGTGTTTAATGTATTATATATTTTATGATATCTTTCTTAGTTTTTAAACGTAAGCCATCATTTATTTTCTTTTAAAAAAATATATTTTGGATGTGGGAATAGATGAAGCCACCATGCATAAACCCCATTTCTAACTCATTGTATTTTTTTCTTTTTTTCCTCATGTTTTTTTGTTGAGTTTTGTTTTTTTTTTACGTTTTAAAGCTTTTTTAAATTTTAAAGTTTGTAAAAATATGTGCACATCTTTTTAATTTTTGGTCTTCCTATTTTTTAATCCATTTTTCGTTGAAACATTTTTTTAGCTTAAACATGTCTTGAAAATGCATTATATTTTTCATGAAATATTTTTCAATTTTAAAATGCAGTTTACCTTTTATTTTCTTTCAAAAATATATTCTTGACGTGGGACTAGATGAAACCACCATGCACACGCCTCATTTATGGCTCTTTGCATTTTTTTCATGCTTTTTGTTGACATTTTTACATTTTAATGCTTTTTTAAATTTTAATATTTTTTTAAATATGACCACATCTTTTTAATCTTTTCGCTTCTTATTATTTATCTATATATATTTTTTTGATGAAACACGATTTTTAATTTAGCTTAAACAAAGTGTTTAATGCATTGTATTTTTCATGACATCTTTCTCAATTTTGGAACAGAGAGTCATGTTTCATTTTCTTTAAAAAATGTATTTTTGTCATGGGATTTTGGTGAAACCACCATACACACATATCATATCTAACTCATTCCATTCTTTCTCAGTTTTTTTTTCCTCATGCTTTTTGTTGATTTTTTACACGGTAATGTTTTTTTAAATATAAGCACATCTTTTTAATCTATGTACTTCTTGTTATTTATCTTCTTTTTTGTTGAAACGTGATTTTTTCATTTACTTTAAACATGTCTTGAAAAAGTGTTTAATGTATTATATATTTTATGATATCTTTCTTAGTTTTTAAACCTAAGCCAACATTTATTTTCTTTAAAAAAAAATATATTTTGGATGTGGGAATAGATGTTGCCACCACGCATAAAGCCCATTTCTAACTCATTGTTTTTTTTTCTTTTTTTCCTCATGTTTTTTTGTTGAGTTTTGTTTATTTTTACGTTTTAAAGCTTTTTTAAATTTTAAAGTTTTTAAAAATATGTGCACATCTTTTTAAATTTTGGACTTCCTATTTTTTTAATCCATTTTTTGTTGAAACATTTTTTTAGCTTAAACATGTCTTGAAAATGAATTATATTTTTCATGATATCCTTTTCAATTTTTAAATACAGTTTACCTTTTATTTTCTTTCAAAAATATAATCTTGACGTGGGACTAGGTGAAACCACCATGCGCACGCCTCATTTATAACTCATTGCATTTTTTCTTTTTTTTCCATTCTTTTTGGTGACTTTTTTACATTTTAATGCTTTTTAAAATTTTAATGCTTTTTTTTTTGAAACATAAGCACATCCTTTTAATCTTTTCGCTTCTTATTATTTATCTATATTTTTTTTTTGGTTGAAACACGATTTTAATTTAGCTTAAACATAGCTTAAATAAGGTGTTTAATACATTGTATTTTTCATGACATATTTCTCAATTTTGAAACAGAGTCATGTTTCATTTTCTTTAAAAAATGTATTTTTGTCCTGGGATTGGATGAAACCACCATGCACACATATCATATCTAACTCATTTCATTCTTTCTCTGTTTTTTTTTCCGTCATGCTTTTTGTTGATTTTTTACACGGTCATGTTTTTTTTTAAATATAAGCACATCTTTTTATTCTTTGTCCTTCTTATTATTTATCTTCTTGTTTGTCAAAACGTGGGTTTTTTATTTAGTTTAAACATGTCTTGAAAAAGTGTTTAATGTATTATATATTTTATGATATCTTTCTTAGTTTTTAACCGTAAGCCATCATTTATTTTCTTTAAAAAATATATTTTGGATGTGGGAATTGATGAAGCCACCATTGATAAACCCCATTTCTAACTCATTGTATTTTTTTTTCTTTTTTGCCTAATGTTTTTTTGTTGAGTTTTTTTTTCTTACGTTTTAAAGCTTTTTTAAATTTTAAAGTTTTTAAAAATATGTGCACATCATTTTAAATTTTGGTCTTCCTATTTTTTCAATCCATTTTTTGCTGAAACATTTTTTTAGCTCAAACATATCTTGAAAATGCATTATATTTTTCATGATATCCTTTTCAATTTTTAAATACAGTTTACCTTTTATTTCTTTCAAAAATATATTCTTGACGTGGGACTAGGTGAAA